TCGGTGGGGCCCCTCTCGCTGCTCGGGGTGCTCGTTGCCCCTCTGATGGCTCGGGCTAAAACAAACACCCAGCGCTATTCTGGCTTTTTGCTTTTTTTCCATAAAAGTGAAAATCCGCTTGAGATTCTGTTTGGTTATGGAAAGCAGGTGCTGATGTAGGCCTCTGGTAAAAGCGAAGTAACAAAGTGAGCTTTGGGAAATCGGGGGACATTTGAAATTGCCCCTGGCGCTGTCGTATTTCTTTCCCACCATCGACTCTGCCGCCTGGTGCCCCCCAGAGGTGGTGGCTCTAAACTGTTGCTCAGTGCCGCGTGCTTGATTTCTCCCGGGTAATGAGTGAAATGTGTATATAAGGGGGGTGAAAGCAAATGCTTGAAAATGGCTTTGAGGGATGGTTTATTTTTTATTTCTAAACTGGTTTACTGAGGGTGAGTATGTCTAGATGCAACCGGAGCAGAAGGCAGTGGGGGTCCTCTGTGGGTGCGTCTCCAACTCTGACTCTCCCCACTTTGAAGTACTTGTTACTTAAGGGCCCCCCCAGACACATACGTCCTTTAGGACAGTTTTAAACTGTAATTGTTTACAGTAGGTCTTCGCTGACGCATTTTTATTGTTAAAACGCAGTTTAATGGGGCAATCTGTTTACTATTATAGCAACTTTAAAAATACACATCACTTAGGAAGAAAATGAAATGAATGAAATCTGTGTTCTGCGATCCTTGCAGGGCTAATGAGAGGCTGGCCAAGATGTGCACTAAGCTTCAGCTGGAGAAGCAGCACAAGAGCTCTTTCCCCGGCTTTGTTCCTACAAGGCCTGTTGGTGGACCGCCTTCTGCTGCTGGTACTAGCGCGGAGGCCAAAAGCAGTCCTACTCGAAGAAGGCGCTTCAGGACTTTTTCAGACCCTTCGACTAACTTTGAGCAATCCCTTGTTCCGGGTTAGTTACATTGCCTTTTTTTCCTTGGGTTTCAGATTTCTGATACAATTCTTGTTTTTAATTTGATGAAATTCTGAGTTGTTTATTTGACTTATGCACACTAAGTAAAAGCCATAATTAATTGTGCTAATAAAGAAAGGAGACAGAAATTTTGTAATTTTTTTAAGTCCCTGGACTTGTAATTTTCAAGAGATACCTGTCATTAACTTTATTCAATAAATGCAACTAAACAGACAAATTTTAAATTTCTTAAAAAGCTCCACTTTAAATTCTATTTTAGAAGTTAAGTATTAGTGCCAAATAACTAGCGATCCACTTTCCAATGTTTGGCTTAGTTTCTGATTGATTTCGGTTTGGCACTGGTTGATAGTAATTTCCAAGTTTTGCTGCACCCCAGTTTTTCTACTCCTAAGCATAAGTAAATGATTGGCATTGAGCTACTTAACCACTTGCGGATGTTTTTTTATTTAAAGGAATCCAAGATAAATTCTTTTTATGAATTCAATAAACTTGTAACACTAAAAACGTTAAGTTCCGTTTCTAAGTTTAAAATTTTTATCATTTTCTTCTGTAAGAGTACATCCTTAATTGCTATTTTACTTTTATAGCATTGTATTTTAATTGTTATAAAATGTCTTACTGAGCAGTTGTAGAACATTTCTAAATACGTAGTCAAGTAAAGCAAATACTTAAATTTTTAAAATGAAGTTCACTTATGTCTCTGTCTTGCCCTCACCTGCAGGAATACCAAGGTGGCAACGATAGGGAGTCTTTAAATTACAACCAGTTTTCATTGTGTATCGTTGTTAAAATAGCCATTTAAAGCGGTGCGCATTGGTTTATGGTTTGATGGTGTTTTCATGATCTTCTTGATGCAGAGAACGGTAGCACAGGCACTTGTTAAGTGAGGTCTCAACCTGTTTCTTCTCACTTGGCTTCATGTCATAATAAATCAAAGAAGAAAAAAGCTCAGGTTTCGTAGACAGTGTTGTGGGTAAATTGAGTCTAAGTGCTTCAGAGTCATGAAACCGGACTGCGTGGTGTTTAAAAAAAAAAATGCATGGCTAACACTTCCGCCAGTGGCTAAGCATGATGCAAACTCGAAATGTTTTCATTAGTTGTCACCAGAAAATCGACAGTGTGTCACTTTGCAGGATGATGGTGGAAAAGTGTGAGTGCAAAAGCAATGCAAGAGAAAGCTCCTGAGGACAGTTTTCTCCTTTAATGTTTTTGGGAGAGAGAGGTGTCTATGTTTTAGTACTTCTAGATACACTGGAAAATGATTTATTTTAAACTCAGTGTTGTAGTTCCGAAGTACACATAGTTCTGGGCTGTGGGGCTGTGGGGCCGTGGGGCCGAATCATGCTGGGTTTAGCAGGGAGGTTCACGAGCCCTGCTCTGTCCGGGTGCAGAGACACGGCTCCCTCAGCGCTGCCGGGCGCCTCTCAGGAGTTACTGTACGGTTACTGCTTACAGATTTCTTAGTCAGAATTAGAGAAAGAAGGCGCCTTGTGGAATTGCTAGGGATGTAATTGTTTCTGCTGGGAAAACATAAAGTAATGCTATGAGAGGTGTAAACATACTGTTTAAAATGACAGGAAGGGATGGGTTTTTGCATGGGGCTTAACAAAACAACAGACTTCCACAGCTTTTCAGCTATGGCTCTAGAAAGCAAAATGTTAAAAATGGCATTGGGATTGACTTTAACATTCTCTTTATGTGCAAGGTTTTAACATTTTGGACTGTTCCTACTGTGAAGTTCCAGCTTACTCAGCAGTTTTTTTTCTAACTTGGCGGAAGTGTTGCTCTAAGTCTGTGATTTCAGTGGTGCTGGTTGTCAAAGCAAGTTTTTTCCAGTTCGTAACACTTGGGTTTATCGCCTCTCTTACCGCTGCATGAAGTACAGCCTTGTCCCGTGACATCGTTGTAGCGGTAACAGATGGACCCCGTATCTGTTTTGCTAATTTTTATCCTCAGATTTCACATTCTAGTTTATTTCTGGGATGTTTTGTCCTACATGTCAGAAACAATTTTACAGTTTTACTCAATGGTGTTAACTATATTACTATAAAATACAAGAAGTTAAAATTAGCCTGAGCAGATACATCACTGTTAGATTTTCTTGCACATAGAATTTTTTTCTGAGAACTGAAAACTTAAAAATGGATTCCAGACAATATTATAACAGACAAAATTTCTCTGTTTTAAACATTTTTTTATGTTCAAGAGTTTTTAAGTATTGGTGTGCCTAACATGAAGCATGGCCATAGTTAATAAATGTCCTTCAAATCTATTTTAAATAGGAAGACTAAATTTTACACTCATTGATTTTGGACTTTTGGTGTATTATTGACACTTTCTAACATTTTCTAATGATTTATTTAACTAATTTTTAAATTTCTCAAATGTCCATTCAGTTTAGCAGCCGTTTTTCTAAATGGGATTATAGCAGTGCACCAGAGCTAAAACGATTAACATTCTAAGATTTTAACGTTTTACATGACACAGCACTGCATCTCAGCAGAATCTGGTCACGTTCCTTTTAAAAGTAGGCTTCCAAGGCAGGGCACATCCACTCTGAATTTTAATTCTAATCAAACTATCACAGTAGTTAAGTTCACTTCTCATAAGGCAGAGGCAGAGTTCAGTAACCTTGTTTCTGGTATCAGCTCTCTGCCCTATGGACTCCCTCCTGCCCTCATTTCATTTTGTCTGAATGGACAAATGAGGAAGCGTGTTATCTTTTGAAAGACAATCACTCAACTTCTTCCAGTTCTTTTTCTTTCATTCACTTTTTTCTCTGTACTTAATTTTTTAGCTCCTTGATCACAAATACTTTATTTCTTTTCTCTGCAGCAAAATGTATGCATTTAATAGTTACAAACTGACAAGTGTCATTTCCTTCATACATTAACCTATTTACAACAGGATAATGAATTGAAGCAGTTAAATGACTTGATTTTATTACATTTCTGGAATTGTACTTATTTTTATAACATTTAAAATAAGAATGGTACCAAATTTTAACTGAAAAGTATCAATAATCTGAAAACATATTCACTTCGGAAATGAACGTGTGTGTATACGTGTTGGCAAGTGTATTTTTATCAAACTGATCTGAGGAAGAGAGGGCAGCATTATCTTTCAGCCTGTGACCTCAGTTTTGACCTCAATCCTGCAGTGTCCCCAGTGGGACCTTCTATTTCTATGGGACATAGTCTGCAAACTGCCAGTTAGGAGAGAATCCTCCTAATTAAAAATCATTAGAATTAAAACTTGCTGATACATTGTCTTCCTGTGTATAGTTTTCTCACCTTTCTGTGTTTTTGTTAAATGGATAAGTTTAAGTAAAACTGCAGGTGCCTTCTCCTTTGTTAATGTTGGACTTCAGACCACTTCCACCATCTGGACATATGGGGGTCCTCACCTAGAAATAAACATAAAGGTCCCAGAAGTACCTGTTTAGGAAAGTAGCTTTGCAGAGGAAAAGATAGTACTCGTACATTCAGCTCATGTGAAAGTGTGATCTACATTTTGCATAGTGTTTATTAACGGTTACATGAATTTATTTCAGTAAAGTCTTCTCCCTTCATCTGTTAGGCGTTTTTCACTTCACAGGACCCACCTGGCACTGTTGTCATGTTGTTGGCAGCAGGCCTCCGTAGAATGTTCTGGTCAGACAGTGTTACGGAAAACAGGCTGTGAAAATACTGGCAAATGGTAGCCCCAAATTTTGTCTTTGCACCTAACATTTACAAAGGCCTCAGCTTTCGTGTCGCTGTTATTACCACAGTGTTTATTATGTCTGGTGTACTAGTTTAGACCCTGTTTAGTGAGCAGGTGACTTTTATAAGAAAAATTTTTAAAAGAACACTCTAGGTGGGGACATTTGTAGTTTGAAATGTCCCCACACATTTCATAATTAAATATGTAACTAATTAAGTCAAGTTTCAAAAAGTTGGCCCTAATTTCTAGAATGGAAACAAAGTTACATTTAAAGAATTACGTATTGTTTTCCTTATTCCTAACTCTGGGAAGTTGTGAATCAGAAACCAACTTTTGAAACTGGCGCTAGCCCTCTTCTTTTCTTTTCTTGAAGCAGATTTTCTGATACAAATATTTTAGTCATCTACAGAGAGCAAAATACATTTGCTTAACTTGTTTGCCAGTAGAATTTTCACTTGATATTATAGCAGAACCCTTTTCTTCATTTTATGCATCTACGATTCTGTGCTAAAAACATGAGCAAGAACAGACCTTAAAATTTTAGTTTTCTAAAAGTGCAGGAATGGAAAGCTCATTTTAAGGAAAAATCCGTTAATGTTAAAAAAAACTTAACTTTTATAAAAGGCAGTTTTTCTGAGAACTGCAGAGCAATGCATTCAGTGTAGAACGTGACTTGAATTGTTTAAACTCTTTGTGCTAAGATTGGGCATCGCCCTCTGAGATTATGTGCATCCGCTAGGGCAGGGCTCACTGTGCTTTCCGTCAGGGGAATCGAAGTAGCCTTACATACATATGTTCTCTATTATCTAAAATCAAAGTAAGTAGGAATTTATTTGATTTTATTCCTGTGATTATTTTTTCTATTTAAGCAATCCCCAAGTTAGGTCAAGTCTCTAAAAGTATTTATTTAAAGGCCACACTTCATAAGCTAGCTGTCATTCCTATGATAGTGTTTCTTGTTTAACTTACACATTAAAAATAATATTTGACTTATTTCAGATGCTGAAGAAGTTGGAGAAGAATACAGATAGAGAATTAAAAGAAGGTATGTTGCCAATATTTCTGAATTAAATTAAGGCATTGATTTCTGAAATACACTGTAAACAGTAAATGGCACCTCTTTCTATTGTTTGAATAACAGATACTATGTTAAATGTTTTTCTTACACATATCTAATGAAAAATGTGAAAGCATAATTTCATTCATAATGATAAGTGTACTTGTTCCTCATTTATTCATCATGAGCCATAGCTTTAAAAAAAATCTCAGGAAGTCTGTGTTCTCTATTTCTGGCTGTGCCCTTCCTCTTCTGCTGTCCCCGTGGGCCTGTCATCTG